CGTCGAGGACAGATGGCGTGACGATCGACAAATAGTTACTAATGACTTTCTAGACACTGGGACGTTGAGAACAAAGAGTATCGTTGATCAAGTCCTAGATAACAATGTACGGTCTCGTTTAGAGCTTTCCTTTCCGTATTAACATAACATCCGCAAGGCAATTGACAATTCGGTCATCAAGAGTATACACATTGTCGTCTGTGTATATGCAAGTTTAGTCTATTAGGGAACTTTTAATCACATCATTTTTGTAATTGAATCTGTTGAATAAATTGGATCAAATTACCTTTTTGATATAACTGTGACAAATGGTGTTACTAGAATTCATCAATCGAATGGCTTAGGTGTTAACGTGCAAACATGTTTACTTTCGCATTCGAAATATTGATCTGGGTTTATTATTCACCGATTGTTTTAGGAAATAATTTCACCTTTAATCGATTGTTGTGTTCCACCATATCCTGCTACAATACACCCACACAAACGAGCAACCAATCATTTGTTTGTCGGTACTGTGCGCCAGCGCATTCCGGCTTTAATTCCTATAATGGTAAATTGGCCGGGTTTGTTTGGAAACACGTCAGAATCGAATTTATAGGACATGTTTACACAATAAAGCTTTCGGTTACCGTACTCAAACGCATTGCCTGTTTCATAGGAATTGTTCCCGATAATAAATATATAATAGTAAAATATTTAAGCACCATAAAAGTATTTAAGCACCAATTTACACTGTATTGTTAAATTAGTACTTAACTTTGTTGGTTTATTTGTATTTAGACTTCCGTTGTTGTATTTCTTGGAGTTGGGCTTTCAATGTGGTCTGTAAGAAACAATTTCTGATATGTTTTTGTTGAAGGTTCCAGTCGAAATTTTGGAGTTGGCGATCGTTTATATTAAACTAAGGATGGTAGGACCACCAGTCGATAATTTTATAGCCGTCAATTCCATAAAGACTTTTGACCTTTGCAGTAATTTGCGAGTATTGTGTAGGTTACGTAAACCTTTGTTTCGTTGGTAGCCAGCTGTGTTGCCATATTAGGGCCGGTTACTATAATGGCAACCCACGGTTATTGTATAGTAACACGGTTAACATATTGGGCCAAAGTTTTGCGGTTACAGGTTTATAAATACTCATAAGTTCATCTTCATTAACGTTAAATAATGTTGTATTGTCTTTATCTGACTTATATTCTAAACTGTTATACAAATGTCGTGGTAGATCCTAGATGAATACTTCAAGACTTCCTAATGTAACTGCGAGTTTTAAACGAGAATATTAGACGCATCCGGTCTTGTTGGACATTACTTCAACTGGAATTTTAAACTAAAATTAGTGATTTCCGTACTTCAACGTGAAATCCTTGTTAACTACGACACATACCAAAATTTGACCCAATGTTTGATCCAACATTGGATCAAGTAGGCGGTATTGTTCACGATTTTGTAATACTTAAAACGTTATGCTAATAATGTAGTCTTACCAAAACTAGGAATTATATCTTAAATGTCATCATCATCACCGAGGCTAATTTTAACAAATACTCCGCACCGTGTAAATCAATTGTTGAAACCGTAAGTATTGATTCACTCCATTTTAAAATACTTCTTTAGTGTGAAGAAACTCTTTGAAACCTACTTGATTGCAATGTCGTTAAAATATTATGTGCTTCGTAAACATTTCTTAGAGAGATGCGATTTCTCAACACGAAAAATTCCGACAAACACGGAATCGTGTGACATTGAGCCTAATTAATTTAAAAAGAAAATAATTAATTGCCAATTATTGATAAATTAATTGATCCACATTCCATGTTTAATGGTTCTCTTTAAGCTTTATCCGGTTAACGTTTTTACTAATAGGTTGATGCAAGACCACTTATTAGTGCTCGAGTGTAGCTGGTCATAATATTAATATCTATGTCAAAAGAGGTTTAACTTAAGCGACCTTCAGGTGTATGGATTATTGAGAAATTAGGTTATCTTAAATGGATTTGAGAAACTAGGATCAATTGAGAATAGACATACGTTATTCGAATTTCTTCATTCCACGGTCGTTGAAGTTCAAGTGTATACCAATACCGGTAGATATGCTAATCGGACAGCTATCAAATAAAATATGACTACGTACGAAACACAAACAAGCAGAACGGAAATGGCTGGGACAAGTAAATAAAGACATATCACTAACGATGCGTGTACTATTTGAATAAGTTTGGAGATTATTAATGTCACTAGTGCCAAGATTGATGTTGTAATTAAAATACTAGACAAGTTATTGAAACGAGAAATGGAGACAGTAGATGAATGTGACTGAGTTGTAGATGTCGCACGCGATAACGTCATAGCAAGAAATATTGCGGTGTTTAGTCGCCATGAAAGATATTTTTAAATCATCGTACTACAAAAATATCTGTGCAAATCATTCACACAATTTGTTCTCCGTGTTCATAATTGTGTGTGTACGAATTATACTCCATCCTCAACATACAGGTACAAATTATCTTCCGTCAGTCATTATCTGCAGTAGCCATCGATTGGTTCATTAAATTTTGATGAATTGGTTATTAATGTTGATTGATTGCTCATGTAATTGTTATACGTGTTGGGTACGAGCGCGCTGTGTATAATTAGTGCATTTATTAAATAAATTATTTTGTTTATACGATTTAATTGGATCAATAATATTGGATTAATTGAGCATTATCTATTTATATATATTATATCGTAGTTGTTTATATGCATTGTGTTGTCTGATACAAGTTAACCATGTTTAGTAGAACCACATGCCTTTTCAAATAATCTTAAGCTACCTGAGCTTCATTAGAATTGTTTACTTTTAATTTTAAACAATGATAGTGTTTATCACTCTCAAACGAGATGCACTTATGTAGAAAGCTGCATATTGTAGCTAGATCCCACAGAGCGAGATTTCCCCCGCCTTCTGGGAAGCGCACAAAAACAATGGGGGCTCGCAAAAACTCTGGATTATTGTTCGACAGATGCCACGGCGCGGCGGATGCGCGTGCGACGACCACGCCTCGCCTTTAGAAAGGGAATCGAACAGTAGCGCAAGTCTCACTTGATTTGACAGAATCGTTTTATGTATTGTCTTTCAATTTGTTGGTAATGCTCTATTAGATGTTCAATTGTTTTCATTTTTATTGTCTGCGTGACTTTTATCGTCGGACCATTATTGTAACAAAATCACTCTTCCTTTTTGTTACGTCTTTAATGTATTCTTTACCATCCGCATTTATTCAACCACTAATAAAGTATCTAGTCCTACGGCATTAATTAATTTTTAAGTACCGACTGTTTCAATTCCACGTTCATTAATTTACTTTGCTTGAGTTTCTATGTAAAGACCTTCTGTGTAACATTCTGTTCGCTTTGCACATGCTTCTTAGAAGTGCTCGAAGCATTTACGATGTTATCCATGTGCGAATAAAAACTTACTGTCAATTGTATCTAAACTAAATTATTAAGTTATGAGCTTATTGTGTTTTGTTCCCACGTATCATGAAACGCTTTACTTATTGCATTCTCTTGGTGGGACAAAATGAATAAAGGTATTGTAACTTTGACTTTTATGTAGAATTCTTGTGTAGGTGATGAAAATTATATTTATTAGTCATGTTGTCTACTTTATGACTGATTGTATTATTGAAATGAAAATATTTGAGTCCATACATCGGGCATAAAGCTTTATGGCTAAGAATACGTCTTTAGTAGAAAAACTCAAGTCGTAAACATATTTAAGTATCATGGTCAATGCTCTCATTCCATTCGAAAATCGAATCAAGGACCTTTTAGTTCACCATTCATTATTGTTACTTATCAATCAGCATTAGATCAATCACACAAACGAGACAATTCAAAATTAGCTTTCACTTGAAGCACTGTTTAGAATAGGATAGCTGAAATATCATCTATAATCCCATTATTGTATTATTGTGTATCTACTTTCTTTAATTCTCAGCAGTATAGCTGTTTGCGCTAAATCTCACGACCTCAACAATCAACGCAACTATACATTAGCAAATTGGGGTTAGCAGACAGATAGGCCAATATTCGAGTGCAGTAAAACACGTATGAACATTTTAGAGTCTATCGATGAATTATCGATAATAATGGCGTTCTATCAAATATAGAGGTAATATTGAAACTAAAGGTGATTATTGTTCTGATTCGTGTACAGTTAGATCTAGAATGTTTGAGGCAGAAAACGACTTGTTAAGCAACACTTAAATACTGCTAATGGTGATGATGTTGATAATGATGACGCTATTCAAGTAGATACTAATCTTAACGCTGATTACTCAGTTGATGATGCAAATTTCAATGATAACTTAAATTCGACATAACGCAATACAAGTCCTAAATGAACCAATTCAGAAGTAAAAGTTGTTCATGTCTTCAGGCAATATAAGAAGCTAGAAACGCTTAGACCTTTATCAGCAATTTATAATAATGGCAATGTTAGTGGTTCCTGGAGCCTCAGGGATACAGTAGTACAGATAAAAATGTTTGCAATTTCTGAGATGGCGAATGTTGCTTAGCCAGTGTTTACATTGTAATGTAATATGTTATGATAAAAATCTCCTAGAGTTTCGTTTACAAAAGCATTTTCATCTTTAAGACGGATGTCATAAAGTTGATTATACGGTGGTTATCTTTTTGTCTTTTTTATTTCACCATAATTGGCAACAGCCCCATGATCTTCCGGGCTGAACAATAGTCTATTACAATAGCTCTCCAGGTACTTGTCACGTAGATACATCCGGCGCTATAAGGGATGCTGACATGTGCGTGCACAAGTGGCATGCGACCAAATTAGATCATGCTTTTGTTGTTCGGATGCTTCATTTATTCTTTTGGTTGCATTACTATTGATTATAGTTTTTTTAATTCTTTGAGATTCTTATTCACTTAATCTCTAGTATATTTTAAGTTTTGTGGAATAGTTTTTTTAAATATCATCATTGGTATTGTTCCAGGGCCCGGCGGCATGCTGAAACACGTGGCGGTATCGCCGCACCGCGCGCGCGCAGACTCTGTCAGTCTCGCGTCTTCAGCTTCCTGCTGCAGCCTCGGCAGCCTCGAGCACCGGCACGACTCCGTCACTGATCTGTCCCATAGAACGGTGAGTTTTAGTTTCTCCATTGTACTTGGTTATCAGTATTTTTTGATTTTTTTAAAGAATTAGCGCAAGAGACTAGTGAAGTTATTGGCTTTGCCTTTTTTCTTTAACAGTTTCTTATTCCTTTTACGTTTAAACGATGTTTAGTTATTCCCACGCATGCTAGTTGCACCACGTTAAAGATGGCAATGGAAAGATGTGCGCTATGATCTAATGTAAATACCTTTAACCTTGCTAGCCATACTTTTACTATTACATGATTGCCATCATCCATCATTCGGAGCTCCCTATAAAATGTTCTATAAACACAAGAGAGCGATACCATCTATGTGCGTGCGCATTATTATTCGATTTCACTTTCTTGGTAGCTAATGGCGGAATTTCCTATGTCTCCCATGAGATAATAACCACCATGGGAACCCAATGCTTCGTATAAATATTGTAACGACAGGAAATACTTCGTGGACAAGACGCGGTTATCTGTAATTGTATTTGAATACGTATAAACGCTTCCATGTTTACCATTGATACTCGTAAATTGAAAACGTTTTTTGTTACATTTGATTCAACATATTTCGTCACATACCATTCATAAAATGTAGAGGGACGAAAACACATATAATATTTTACAATATACAGTTTCGGTACAATAATTCCCTTATGTCACATGTTTGTATTGGTTGAGAAATCTGATAAAATGTTGATATTGCGAGATTTTAAGTTAGCGACAACGACGTGAGAAGGAGAGATCCAAAAATATTTGCGACGACTTTGTTTTTTATACACAAGGCGATGCCTGTAAAAAGAACACAATTTTGAATAGTGTCTGCATCACAGATGGTCTCAGGCTTTGTTTGTTCTCTGTCCATATTTCTGCATCATCAAGGTCTAACGTCAAACCAAATATTTTCATCATAATTCCTGGGAATATGTGCACAATGGGACAATTTCGACATTGCGTTCAGTCATTATACCTTACAACAAGTTCTTAATTAAGCGCGGCACTGACACTTTGATGGCCGATAGAGATACGGGGATGATTTCTCGATTGTTTAGCGACATGTGAACTTGGGTTTAGGAGCCAGCCCGGTATTGTTTCGAGGTGGAAAGTTGGCGAACGGTGAGAGCATCCGAATTAGTTTTGACCGACATCTGTGATCGTTACTGTCTTTGTGATGACTTGAGAAGTCATTAAACTTTGAGTTCTCATTGTCTGTAAGAGTGCATTAAAGAGTGCCTAATTAAAGAGGTCTGCATATTTTCTTTTCTTTCTCTAGAAAGCTTTCATCTTCATCTTTTGGTTATGTTGGAGTTTAGTTTTTGTTTATCGTTTAAGATGCTGCATAGTCTAATTTGTATTAACTATAATTTGTTGGATCAGTTAGATTAGACCGTGTCGGATGCACTAACAGTCTAACCTCTGTAGACTAAGTGATCGGTTTTACCCAGACGATGTATCACGAACAAAATAAATTCAAGAAAAGATAAGCAATGTAACTGCACTTACCGATGAAATCAATTATCATCGTCTACAAAGTTTGCATCATCTTGCGACAATGTAAATATCGATCCTTGGGTTTTTTCTGCCTTACTCAAGTTGCCTAATCTATGTAGTAAAGGTTTTTCCATTAATATATGTGTAAGCGAGTGTTTATAATCCAATAAATAATAACGACACAACGTCCGGAAATGCAACCGATAAGGAATTTTATCGACTCATACCTGAGCACAGATTCATGCTTTTTTATTTTATTTATTACAAAGCTTGATAAATAATTTGTTGCAGCAAAATCGGCAAGAAATTCCATTAACTAATGTATTATCTATGGTTTGGAATTTCCCGCGCTGTCATTGTCAATATTCTTTTTAATTTTCGCATAAAACTGTCATGCATTCAGCCTAATCTAAAATAGAGCTGTCATCTATGCCAATATAATCTTTATATGAGCTTAATTTTTTTGTTTATTGTGCTGGTAGCCATATGCAGAGTGTTTAGTTTATTACAATGGGGTACCTACTTAAAGTTGTGTTATAATTTACACCCAACATATGCCTGGTAAATCCCTGTTAATAGCTTACAACATGTAATCTTGCATCACTGTGATAATAAATACGTCAAGATTTTGATATTTAGTGAGAAATATATACCACATAACATAATGCATCATCACAAACAAGATTTCTATAATCTTATTAAAATATGCGATGATTCTGACTACTTGATAATTTTCTATGTAAATCGATTGATGAGTCATCATATTACTTCCTAATCATCATATCCATCACATGTGTTCTAAAAATTTTATAGTGTATTCTTAAATAACCTTGACCGACTTCCTTGGTCTAGAATCTATAAACAATTATAGAGTTTCCTATGATTAATTGTAATTAATTGTTATAATTAACTTTGCAGACATGTGCTTTAGTACCGTTGGAATCCGACGAGAGTGTGTTCATGGCATAATGATCACTTTCTGATAGACGTTTCCGATGATTTGACTTGAGAACTTCGTACTAATTGTTTATGGTATAATGTGACATGACGATACAATAGATGACCACGCCCCTTTCCAGTACACATGCGCTTTCTATTGTTTATTTAATTGGTGATCAGATATGTGTTTATAACGGTTGTAAAGTGCACTCATTGTTTGCGGTTTTCCGCTATGCTAAGCGGCAATCATTTTATTCTATTTATAAATATTTATTATTATTTACTATTACTCTTTACGTAATATTAACAAGCATACTGAATTGAAATAATAACCGCAAAGTATTTATTATACCTAAAACATACAGACATATTAAAAGTTCATATGTAATTTCTAAAATGAAATTCCGCATCGAAAATATTCATACAAAAAAAAAAAACAATAGAAAACTATCATTGGTCGCCGCCATCTTGAAAAAAATTGCTTTATATTTCGGGCGAGGACAATGCACACTTGCATTCAGCCACACATGTCATGTCCGTGGGAACGTAAGCGCAGGCGCGTTGCTGCTAATCATCCGTTTATTAGACAACTGTAAAGTTTAGTTAAGAAGTACCACTAGATTTTATGAGTATGATGTAGAACTTTAAAAGAAGTTGGTCTTATGTTAGTGAAGATCTTTGAAAAGTTTGAATTTTTATGGACTCTTGTAGTTTTTTATCGCTATGAACAGGTGAATTACTGATGATAATAATCATGAAATAAGTAACTTATTATTATTATTTCCGAATACTAAACAAGTTAAACAGTTCTTCTAGTTAGCTCATTGGCCAACAATGGATTTATACAACTAATAACCTATTTACCCGATACATTTGAAATTGTTACTAGGACTTCTGAACAATAATTTCGTGTGAACTAGTCAGATGTGATAGGAATAGAGTACTTAGCTCATAGTAGTGAAGTATTTAGCGCGATATTGATGAGCTGCCACATTTGTTTAATTACGCTTGCGACTGGGACGACTGCCCTAATTTCTTCACTACAATGTGGTATGTTGTATATATCGTTATTGTTTCGCTGCTCCTTTGAAGTTTCTGGCAAATTAATATCCGATTGAGGATGAGTTGACTGTTTATAATGTAAAAATAAGTTTTTGCAGACGGTTAGTTAGGCTTAAACTGTCAAACACCAAGCGGTCACCGGTGACCGCAACCTATTGTTCTATAATTGTCCCGGAGAACCTAACGGGTAACCGGGGCTCCGGCTCGACGTGCAGGAGAAGGAACGGGGTGGTTTTTCGTCAGTAAGAGTCTGACACTCCCTCCCGCCTCACCCTGGCGGGAGCAGTCATTCGATGATTTTCCCCCATTAAAAAAAAAATGGTTCTATAATTGTGTCTATAATGACGGTACTCGACGAGTTAATATTGACAGTAGTGGATGTTAAAGCATTTTTCTAACCGATTTTGATGCAGTTTTCAGTAAAGTGTTTCTTACACTTAGGACAAGGTTTTAGTATAAAAGGCTACAAAAAATATTGGATTGAAGTTGGGTTTTTCAAACGTGTACCTAGTTTATTAAATAATTATTTGATGAGCAGTGAGCAAACATTATTAAAAATTAGTATCAACATGTTAACTATTGTTAACATAGGTTGATAACTATATCAACATCATAGCGTTTGACCATTACTGGTGTTTTAGTTGTTACTTAACTGTTAAGAGTTCTTAGAGAGATATATGTTTAATACAACTATAAGGGAGACGGAAGACATAACTTTAGACGTTTGCTTAATGCTAGTTACATCATTATTACTGTCTGCCACAGATAATCTCACTTTTACTCCATCTTTCTTGATAATTCAAATAATTTAATTCAATCTCGACTAATAACGAATGAACAATCAAACTATCACTTTTTGACACAACAATCACATTCATAATTCTGTCCACTCCCGTATTATCGCGTAGATATCCGGTGGGTTGCGCAAGCGCATCGGTAGGTCACACGGTTTGCCGTCACTTCCTGTCATTAAGGCTTTCTACCGGTGAAACTGCAGACTGTCTGACACTGGGCCTTACAGTGCCTGGACCTGAATCTAGGGCTAGAGTTATAGGAAATAAGTGCTAGGGAAGTCATTAAGAATGTCATAAAATGTTGCTGTAAGTGCTCAGTAAATTAATGTTTAGTTCTGCCTTGGAATGTACACGGTGCAACGGCAATTAAGGCAGTATCTATATATTGGTATATCCTTCTTGTATGGCTATGGATGTTTTGTAAATAAGCGCAGTGTTTGTTAAACTACTCTTTTATAAATAACTAGCGACACGCCCCGGCTTCGCACGGGTGCAATATGCATGTATTATAGGTACATACAAACCTTCCTTAAGAATCACTCTATCTATTAAAAAAAACCGCATCAAAATCCGTTGCGTAGTTTTAAAGATCTAAGCATACATACGGACATACAGCGAAAGCGACTTTGTTTTATACTATGTATTCATTTAGACTGTTACTAGCTGTGATTAATTTTATTAGTATTGGATATTCATTGTAAGCATTGGATAGC